GTGAAAACCATACTCAAAAACCACAAAAATTAAATGTATGGTCAGGTATAGTAGGTACTCAGTTAATTGGGCCATTTTTCATCGAAGGAAATTTAACGTCAGATAGTTACGAAATGTTACTTAGAAGTGAAATTGTACCTACACTGAGAAACTTGTTTGGGGCCAATTTTAATCAGATATGGTTTCAGCAAGATGGAGCTCCACCTCATTTGGTGTAAATGTTCGGCGTTATTTAGATGAGATATTTCCCGGACGATGGATTGGTAGACGAGGTAGAATTGAATGGCCTCCACGTTCACCTGATTTTAATCTTAAAGAATATTTTTATTGGGGATACTTGAAAAATTCAGTTTACAACACTAGACCAGCAAGTCTTGCAGAGCTAAGGCAACGAATTATCGATGAATCTCTCATAATTTCTAGACAATCATGGAGAAACGTGGTAGACGCATTCTACCATCGATTAGGGTACTGTCAACTCACAAATGGAGCACATTTTGAACACTTGATAAAGTAACCATTATGCTAAAAAATGTTGTAATCTATCAATTGTTAAGTTTTAATGTAACTAAAAATAGTTAGTATTAAAAAAATTATTAGGCAATTAGGCGTTGCCAGACTTCCGTTTTATGTATTTAAGACCTTCCAGACTACATAAAATCATAAGTGTTACATATGGTTGAACTCGTATTGAATAGGAGATTCCAATAATGACTAAATATACAGGGTGATGAATTTGAAAAACCAAAGTTACTAATAATATAAGAGATACGGAAAATCTGACAACATTGTAAATATCAAATATGGAATCTTCGTATCCCAAAATAGGTGTACCTCAAATTTGGTACAATTATGACTAGCAATTTACAAGATAATTGGCCGTTTCCAGACTTTTGGGCCACTCTGTATACACCTGATAATTTTTATTTTGAGTTTTTATTTGATTAGTTTGTAAACATTAAAATCGTGTTTTTATTTTGATTCCACATTTTGCTGGATCCGCGCTGGATCCAGCTGGATTCAGGATAACCTTGCAAAAATCCAGCTGGACTGAAAATACTTCTGGATTGCAATCCCTAGGCTAGAGCCCAAAATTTGGATAAATTAAAATCCGAATAAGAAGTCCGTTTCTGTTACAGCAAAAATTCTTACATCTGTCAGTAGAATATTTTATGATACATTGGGATACAGTCGTAGAAGGTCAAATATTTGAATCATTTCTGTAGTGCATAAATAATTATTTATTATTTTATTATCAATTATTTTTTGTTTTATTTTTTTAAAGAAATGCGCTTTTATTTTTAATTCAACCACAAAAAATTGTTCGCATTATTAAAAACCGATACAAATGCACCGCCTTATAAAGGTCAGTGTATTTTTATCGAGTTTATGTTATAAGAAATTAACCGGGTATGCGTAATGAAAACAAAAATCGACGGACGGAGATGCATACACATGCGTTATGTATTACTAAATGGTTTTCGCGTTTTATGTCTAGATGTCGCATTGTTAGAGGAGATCGAAGAGTTACAATTAATTACCTTGTACGAGGTAATATATACAATATTTAATATTTATACATATATTGTAGAGAAATAAATTGATCTAGGATTAGATTGTTATGGAACGGAAAATAATAGGATGTCAAAAATTTATTAGATATCCAAGATATACAATAAGCCAATTGGTAGTAATACAACGGGTGTAAAAAACGAGAGTAAGGGGCGAATAGGATACAAAGTTAGGAGTTGTCTAGTTAGTAAGATTGCTAAAATGGTTTGATGCCATATTAAGGTTGTTAAGGGAGATTAGAACCTATCCCAGAGGTCTGTAGAACGTGACGTGTTTGGGAATGTGTCTAAGACAATATATACTCATCCTAGAGCAGATCTACAGTTCAATTCTAGCCTTTGCCTTCATTGTCAAATCTCCCCATTCGTTACGGTCTCTAGCCATTTTCCTTCACGTTCGACTGCTAAGGAGATTTCTTACGTCCTCATCCACATCCATACACGAAGAGCGACGTGATAATAAAAAAACACTGAGTTATTCAACATCATCATCCAACCTTCATTTATCACGTCTACTGCTGGACATAGGCCTTCCTTTAACTGCTCTATTCTTTACGATGTTGTGCTCTTTGTTGCTAATTTTTTGTGATACGTCTGATGTCGTCAGCCCAACGTGTAGGTGGTCTTCCTCTACTACGTTTGTCTGCTCTTGACCTCCAATTTGTAATTTTGCTCGTCCATCGTGAGTAGTGCATTCTCGCTACATGGACTGTCCAGTTCCATTTCAGGTCCGCTATGCGTTCAACAACATCAACAATACTCGTTTTTCTTCGCTTCTTATTCGGTCCCGCAACGTCACTCCCAGCATAGACCGTTCCATTCGTCTCTGTGCCACTCTCAATTTAGAAGCCATAGTCTTGGTTAGAGTCATAGTTTCCGCCCCACAGGTCATGACCAGTAATACGCATTGGTGAAATACTTTTCTTTTGAGGCTAATTGGTATGTTGGCCCTAAGTGTGTCTCGCAGTTTTCCAAAGGCTACCCACGATAAGTAATTCGTCTTTGTATTTCGCATGTTTAGTTATCCCTGCTTATTCTTATTTAATGGCTCAAATACGTATATGTCTCCACCACTTCTACCACTTTGTCTTGAATAGTTAAATGGTTATTGGGGACCACATTTGTCATAAACTTAGTTTTGGTCAAGTTCATTCTGAGGCCCATCTTCGAGCATGCAAAGTCCAATTGATTTGTCACCTGCGAAACGGATATGATTAAGCTTTTCGCCGTCTATTGTTTCTCCTCTGTGGTCCCAATTGACCATCTTAAAGGGATACTCTAATGCCGTTATAAATAATTTCGGTGACAATGTATCTCCTTGCCTTATCTCACGTTTTATTTTTATTGGTCAGGTTTTATCGTGTATCCTAACAGTCATAGTGACATTGTTGTAAATATTGTAATAAGTTCACTATACCTATGGTCAATCTTTTTGTCATTCGTTGCTGCTATAAGGCTGTCTATTTCGATCGTCTTGAACGCTTTATGAAATTCTATGAAAATGAGGACAAGAGGTTTGTTGTATTCTATAGATTTTTCAATAAGTGTCTTTACTGTATGGAGGTGATCATTGGTACTAGAATTTGAACGGAATCCTGCCTGCTTTCTCGGTTGGTAAAAATCTAATTTTTCTCCAATCTTGATTTCACTAATCTAGTGAAGAACTTGTATATGTGGTTCAACGGGCTAATAGGTCTATAATTTTCTACGGCCGTTCTATCTCTTTTTTTATGCAAAAGGATGGTTATAGCATTGTTCCATTCTTTGGGCACCTCTTTTTGCTGTAAACATAGAATTAACAAGTTTCATTATTTGAATAGCATATCTCTTCCATTTACGATAACTTCTAACACAATTCCATCCTCTCCTGGAGCTTTGTTATTTTTCATTTTTTTAATGCTTGTCGACTCATCTATCTTTATCTCTGGCATTAGTTCGGAACCTTGATTAATGATCTTCTTTGAAATGGCTGTTTGATCTTCTCGTCTACTTCCATATAATTTCTCGTAAAACTCTTCGACGACCATCATTAACTCGTTTCTGCGTGATATTATTGAAGTTATACTTCTATACGCACGGTCGACGTTGGAAATTTGCATGGGAGTGAATCTGTGAAACAGTTACATATGTAAGATAATGAGTAAGGGAGAGACAGAAGGTATATTTTATCTCTTTTCCTCTGTCGAGAATAAAAATGTTCCTTTTGTATATATATTTATTATTATTATTATTATATAATATTGTGTGATTTCAGTTGTTTTCCGGGTTTGACTACGCGTTAAATAGTTTTGGTTTTTAGAAAAACCATTGTTTTGGCGACGTTTCGGCAAGGTCACACTTGCCATTGTCAAGTCAGATTAGTTCTGCTTCGTCTTGATGTTTCAGGAGAACTGAGTTCTCGTCTCGGTCGCTACACGTTGAGTTTAAATACCTTGTAGCACATCCTGTGATTGATCCTGTGCGCAGAGTGGGCGGGGTCTTCTTCGCTATTTTAATTTCTATACTTTTTTCTGCAAAATTGGTTTCCACGTATTTGGGAGTCTTTGGGCATCATCTCTGGTATTTAAATTTTTCGGATGTTTTTCAATCTCTATGGGTTTCCTGATTACACGTTTGGCCTTATTTTCGATGTTGGCTAGCATTGTTGTTCCATTGTTATATATAATATGTATTAATATTAATATTTATGTGATATGTTTTGTATTATTTATTAAACGTTTATAATTATTTTAGGCTTTTGTATTTTAAAATAATACTGTTTGACCGAGAACTGTAAATTTTGAAATCCGTTAGTATTACGTCTAATTGGCAAATCTTTTACGTGTTTGGTTCATACGCTGGTGTTTGTGAGTTCGAATCCCAACATGAATTTCCTTTTTTATTTTTGAAATATTTAAAATCCTTACGTTAATCTTATTAAATATATGTAATATACGCAAAAATGCTAAATTTTAAAATAAAATGAAAACAACACGTAATACGACATTATAATAAAAGATTGAAAAAAAAACCATTATTCATTATCATTGGATACAACGAGAACACAAATTCAATATAGGAAGACTATTTGTAACGGTGGTTATATGGTATCAAAGCCAAAGTAGGTAAGGTAGTGTAGATATTTTCTCCACTTCCAGAGAACAGAGAAATGCAGCAGGCTTAAGAGAAAGCCTTCACCATGATATAAGATAGAAACAGGCTGATAAAAGAAAAGGCATTTTGAACATCCATAGCAAAGGTGAAGATATACTTCTGAACAACAAAGACGGAAGATACAATGAAAAACGTAAATTAGAATATTTAGAAATATAATAGAAATTTATTTTTATTTACCATAACAAAAGAGAATTATTGGTTGCATATACTTACACCAATGGCGTCGACTTCCTGAAAACGTGTACATCTACTGGCTGTCGATTGTCAAAAGTCAATTTGTAAAATACTAAAACGGGAGTGGGGGTCTAAGCGCTTGTGTTGAGATTTTGTGGATAGTTTTTTTCCAAAATTTTGTTTTATTCCTATTCAATGTTTTACTTATAAAATAAAAAAAATGTTGGTTCTTTTTGAAACTCCTGCTGGATACGCTATATTCAAGGTAATTTAAAGTTTAACATAAAATTTCCTTTTTATTGTCCTAACCTCACTTTTTCCATGCTTTCAGCTTTTAGATGAGAAGAAACTTAAGGAAGCCGATAATTTATACCATGCCTTTGAAACACCTGAAAATGCTGGAAGAGTGTAAGTGTGCTTAATACGAATGATATTTCTTTTATATCTGACTTCTAACATCAAACAAGACTCAATTTGAAAATCTTGCTATGACCTTATTCACTGTCCTGAATAAGTATTTATTTAGTTAAAATATTAATATTAAATTCAAAACAGCCAGTTTTAAAAATCAGTATTTTACAAGTAAATTGCCTTACTATTTTCCTAACATGTAGCTGTGTATGGATCTTTTAAACTTTCAAATAGGCAAACTAAACCAGTTCATTGAAATAACGTTTTTCTTTGTAATACATCTTTTATCCGTGGTTATATTTATATAATACTTGTGAGCATTTTGTGTAATAATACTTGCAAAATTGATCTGCTTAGTAGATCTCTGCAGACCTAAGTACAATCTTGCAGAAAATATCTTACACAGTTATAAAATAATATAGATATATGACACCATAAAATTAACATTGATCTATTTATGTCTCTTAACTCTTATCTCTTTGATTCATCAAAGTATACAAAGTGTTTGTGATTTACATTAAAGGGTGTACAACTATTTAAGATTGCAATAGGTAAATAAAAAATTAATCAACTTCAATGCCATCCAATGTGGTGCATTTCCGGATACACAATTTATAAACCAATAAAAGTATAGCCTATTTGTATATTTTTTGACATGCAAATGTGCCAATATAACTTTTGATTTCTGACATTTTTATTGGTTTGATTCATAGTAGAATTAATTTTGGACTAGAATGTGATGTTGACAGTGGAAAAAAAGGAAATAATCCACTACTTACTAATTCACTTTACCTACATTCTTTTAGACATGGCTACACGACACAAAATGTGGCTTTGTTTAACCCAAATTTTAAATGTTATTCAAGAGATTGAAAATTTACTATGTTTTGCTAAACTTTCTTTAATGACTATTGGTTTTATTTAAATCTATACAAATAACTAAACAATAGAGAATATAAAATAATGGACAAAATCAAAGATTCTGAATGAAGTTAGCTACAAAGAAACTTTGGTAAAACACAAATTTGGGTTTGCAGTATTTCCATGTCCTTATTATGTATATGTTAAATATATACACTCTCAAATATACACAGAGAAAGGTTTGAGTCTACATTTTTATTATATTAATTTAAGGAATTTGGTCTTTTCTAATTTATATAAAACACCCATGAATGAATATTTGTTTCTTTAGATATTAGTTGCAGTTAGTTATTAGAAAAAAAATTGCATTGCCCTTTGATAAATTAGCAGATAAATTTGGCAATAGTGTCAGAATCTTTAAAACACTATTTGTCAGATTGTAATAGATGTTCAACAGATATTAATTTTATGACCATCAGATCTACAGTCATTAAAATAGTTACATTTTTTCAAATTTATATTGCAGAGATTAAACTATCATTATCAACCATTTAATCCATAAAATGTGAATTTCTTAAATCTTATATTTAGTTTCATGGCAGCTGCCATTCAGGTGGTTGAAACATTACAGTGAATAATTCTGTTAAGGATTGTGGCTTGTTTTCATATATACTTCATCTAATTTACTTACCGATACACTTCATTATCATTGACAGAGATCGAAGTTAACATAGTTGCCAAAGTCCAAAAAAATCCTGATTCCATTTTAAATCAAATAGGTCACATAATTATTGCAAAAGTATTACCATATCTTTACAACGACTATTTAAATTCTAACGTGACATTTTTGAAATAAAACACTAATTTTGTTCTAAAAAGCACAGATTTTATTAAATAGGTTAAAATATAAAACAAGAGGTATTCACTTTAAAGTTCAAAATATTAAATTACAAAAAGTGTCAACACCTCAACTGTCAAATAAGTGTTACCAATTTATGCCAAAATTTCACCTTCGTTGGTTTATAGTTACAATGTGTTCCGAACAAATGTTCTTCATAAAAACGGTTTATAATGCATTTATACAAATTAAACGAAACATATTGTGTATTTCTTGTAAGTTAACAATAATAGAAATCTTTAAATATTATTTCTACGCGTATATAATAAAATATGTCTAGTGGCTGTAATGCCAGTGTACTCGGCAAAGTGATTCTAAAAAAGAACACACCTACTGCCTAAATATTTCTTGTTGGTATCATGTGACGTCACAGGCTATGACACCGATGACGTGCATCAGTATTTTAATTAGTTGAAGTACCTATCAAAGTAAAAATATATATTATGTGACCTCTTACATTAAAATAAAAATGTGGATGGCTAATATTTCTTAATATATTTGTTGATTCATAACATGTTACGTCATAATCATAATCTTAACATAAACTCATGTGTTCTACCCAGAACTAACTTCACTCACCCTTAATCTCATCTGTCAAATCAAAAGCCAACCAAAGTGTGCAGGGCTGATATGCCGAAACTATCGAGGCCCTGACATTGGCGCTTAATTTAAAATTTGATTACAATTAAAATCTTTACAGCAGAATTTAACTCATTATTCACTTCCTAACTTTAGTATTTATAGCGAAATAAAATATATTATTTTTCTCATTATTTTATCATTTTAGGTTTTCCATGTTTAATTAAGTTAATATTATATCACATGCTTTTCATGATTTTTTTATAAGGACATGGCAACACTGCCAAATACAAAATATCCTTCAGTTGTTGCTACCTTCATTGGGAATGTTCTCTAGACTTTATCCAAATAATTATATTCCCAGTTCAATCAGTTTGAGAAATTTAATGTAACTTATGTCAGATTCATCTTTTTTTTTTTTCATATAGAACCATGAGACAAAATTTAAGAACAGAAAAGGTGTTGAGATGCAACTGCATTTTCAATATTTCCTTTTTTTATTTAACATTATTGATATTTTTCTTGTATCAATATTTAAGTTCTGAAAATATGATTTACTTTCAGTGTGAAACTTAAACACTTTGAAAAATTTGGTGATACTACTGAGGCTTTAGCTGCAACAACAGCTGCTGTTGAAGGTAAAATTTCCAAGAGCCTAAAGAAGGTTTTAAAGAAGTATGTTGATAAGGATCTTCAAGAGCAACTATTGGTGGCTGATGCTAAGTTGGGATCTGCAATTAAGGATAAATTCAGTTTACAATGTCTTTCAAACAGTGCAGTCCAAGAATTGATGAGATGTATACGTTCACAGTTAGACAGTTTGCTGTCAGGTTTGCCAAAAAAGGAAATGACTGCTATGGCATTGGGTTTAGCACATTCACTATCTAGGTATAAATTGAAATTTTCTCCAGATAAAGTAGATACCATGATTGTACAAGCAGTGTCTTTATTAGATGACTTAGACAAAGAATTGAACAATTATATTATGAGGTGTAGGGAGTGGTATGGTTGGCATTTTCCAGAACTTGGCAAGATAATTACTGATAATGTAGCTTTTGCAAAAACTGTTAAAATTATTGGTACTAGAGAAAATACAGCAACATCAGATTTGTCAGATATTTTACCTGAAGAAGTAGAAGAAAAAGTTAAAGAAGCAGCAGAAATTTCAATGGGTACAGAAATTTCAGAGGAAGATATATTTAATATTCAAAATTTATGTGACCAGGTTCTAGATTTATCAAATTATAGAGCCCAGCTCTATGATTATTTGAAAGCTAGAATGATGGCAATTGCACCTAATCTTACTGTTCTAGTAGGAGAATTAGTTGGAGCCCGACTTATATCCCATGCTGGTTCTCTTATTAATTTAGCTAAACATCCTGCTTCCACCGTACAGATTCTTGGAGCTGAGAAAGCACTATTTAGGGCACTAAAAACTAAGAAAGATACTCCTAAATATGGTCTCATATACCATACACAGCTGGTGGGACAGTCTAGTACTAAGAACAAGGGTAAGATGTCCAGAATGCTGGCTGCTAAAGCTGCACTGGCTACTCGTGTAGATGCTCTTGGTGAAGATGGAACATTTACGTTAGGTAAGTCATTATTTCACAGATATTTAAGTGGTGTGTGGATGTGTAATCTTCAAATTTTACGAATTAGAGATAAGTACACAAAATTATCATAAATTCATCAAAAAATGTGTGGATTCACCCAATTGATACCAATAGACTGAATACAAGCTTCAAATGCAAAAAATATTTTGCGTTTTCTTTGCCATCTTATAGCTATTGATGTTGCCATTATTTATCATAGTTCATTACAATATAGCAAAAGCGTTCTTGAAATTTTAAACAGTAACTACAAGTGGCATCTTGACATTCATTACAATATCTTTTATACAGTTAATAACAGATATTTATATTTCATACTTTTTTGATAACGACTAAGTACATTTAAGCTGTAGTATCTTTTTGTAATAACATTTTTTTAAAGAATATCATTATAACAAAAAAATATTAGTATTAAGTCTGTCTCTAATCTGTAAATTTGCTGTTATTGTTAAAAATTTTCCTATTGTTGCCATAATTATATGCATATAATTTTGTAGGAGCTGAACATAAGGCTAAACTGGAATCTAGACTAAGGATCCTTGAAGAAGGAAATATTAGAAGAATAAGTGGTACAGGCAAGGCTAAAGCTAAGTTTGAGAAGTATCACGGTGTCAGTGAAATACAACAATATCCAGATGCAGCAGACTCTACATTACCAACTGCTGGTAAAAGGAAAAGATCAGAATCAGAAGGATTTGGTCTCGATGAAGGATCTTCTCCAGGTCCATCAAAGAAAGCAAAGAAAATTAAGCGTGAAGTAGAAGCAGAGGCTGAGGGTATGTTTTAAAATATATCATTGTAAAAGAAAAAAATTCTTGTTATAATTAGTGATTATTTTTGTGTAGTTTTCACAGCTCATCAACATTGTAGTATTATTAAAGAAGCATCGGTGCATAAATTAACCACTTGGTATATAGTAGTTCAATATTTGGTAGGATGGGATCCAATATCAAAGAGAATATTGAGAGTGAAAAGATAAAGGGAGTTTAAATTTTAAATAAATCTTGGGAATGTGATATTGACTTTAATATATTTGTTAAGTACAAAGAGCTCTCGATATTTTCCATTTCAATTACTATTTATAACTGGGAATAAGCCACAATTAAAGATAAAAATACGTTTATTGACGTTTCAATTTCCAATTCGGAAATCATTCTCAAAATACAAACAGTAAATTAAACAAATTTTGTTTTTTGTTTAAAAAAACAAAATTTGTTTAATTTACTGTTTGTATTTTGAGAACGATTTCCGAATTGGAAATTGAAACGTCAATAAACGTATTTTTATCTTTAATTGTGGCTTATTCCCAGTTATAAATAGTAATTAATTTACAATGCCACAAGAAAATAGCTTCAGAACAATTTTCCATTTCATTTATAGCTATAGACTATTTAGAGGAATTTAAGAATTGTACTGTTAATATATCATAATCTATATTGCTACAAATGTTTGTAACCATTTTGACTCTTTTGATGTTTTAAATGAATATTCTAATAATACAAATTTGAGTGTGTTTATGATATAAATGAAGTCTCTCTTATATTCTTTTATTTTGATCTAATTATATTATTAACAATTATTACTTTAAAAAGTAATGAATTTTAAACAAATAAATTGGCTAATATTTTTGATTATATCTGTAGTTGACAAATTTTAAATTGGTAAGTTTTGGCAAGGCTGCTTGAATCAAATATTTGAATGTTACTTCCAAATAATCAAATTTTAAAATTATAATCCTAATTTTTTTTATTTATTTTAAATTACCTACTTTTATGTTGTTTGTCTTCCACATCTTAGTTTTTTCTCATTTATTTCCAGTGTTTTCTCATTTATTTCCAATATATATTCGCTGTTGTTCCTCTATAATAATTAATAATGCCTCTTAATTCAACTGGTTTTCTTATTTTAAATACAGTAAAGTGCTGATTGTCCCAATGTTAGTCAAATGTCCAAATGTCAGCTTGATTGTTTGGATCGAAAAGTCATAAAAAGATGAATCTTACTTCAAACACAGATTTAGATGATGCTGTGTATATAAGTAGTTTACTCAAAAAATATTCCAGGGAGAACCTATTTCTGATCTGATTCTATGTGAGTTTCAAATAATAGGATAAAAACTGTACTAATTCATCAGTAGCACATAAATTCTAAATTAAAAAGTGTGTTACTGAAGGAAGAGAATTATGCCCTTCAAAACATTTACAATACAGATGAAACTGGTCTCAATTGTAAAGTTTTGCCATAAAAATTCACGGTGTGAACTAGCATCACCTGGATCTTAAATATGCAATTAATGTATCACTGCCTTAGCTTGTGCTAATGTGACTGGCAGCCACTGATTGCCCATGCTTGTCATTGGTAAAAGAAAGACACCACATTGTTTTAAAACACATTAATATGTCTGCCCTGTCTATTATTTACACTTCAGATGTTAGTACAATTTTCATGGAATGGTTTGTAGAAACTTTTATATCCCCTGTTAGCTATCAATTAAAAAATGGTAAAAGAGGGAAAACATTATTGCTTCTTGGTAACGCACCAACTCATCAATGTTGGAATGAAAAAAACCTATTTAAAAAAAAACTATGTGACCTAGCCACTCATAAATGAGTAGACTTGCTTCAACAGACAAGAACTGAAGATTTTTTAAGGGTTAGTAATTAACACTTAAAAAATCTTTAATAATTTTCATTAATATTGTACCTAAAATATGTTACTTTGCAAAGGCTGCACTTTTTTGTTTCGTTCCTATTTGTCATTATAGATATAAATACATAAATGTAGGTATATAAATATGGTCTTCATTCACCTGTGGATAAATATGTATAAATATCAATATAGTTTGATTATCTGAAAAAACTGATTTACCAAACACTAATGTCCACCAATGTTATTCTCTCCTAATCTACGTTCCACGTTTAGAAAATAACATTGCGGAGATAGGGCCATGTATTTCTTATGGACGATAGAAACGCGGCGTTGCCACGACACACACAAGCACAATTTAGGGTTGGATAATTTGTATTTTCGTTTCCACAAACATGAATTAAATTAATGTTTTTTAACGTAATTGACCAAAAGTGCCCATTTGAAACAAGAGATGAAAAGTAGGGGAAAATAATTTTAATTATATAAATAGTATTTACAAAAGATTATTTTATTTTATCTTATTTTAATTATAGTAAAGACAGTTTATTTGTTTTTCGGTGAAAATACGATATGCCATGAATCATAGAAATCAGTAGAAAATATTGATGGCTTGGAATGCGTATATCTAATTACTAATTGCAACTTAAAATAATACGATGTGCGTATGTCAGCTGTTTTATGTCGTTCTCTGACTACATAATGATAATAAGGCTTTTATTTAGTAGTTATTCTGACTTTACAGTTAAATGTTAATTAAAAATGAAAATTCAAAAATTAAGCAAAGGGAATATCTTGGACATTCGTGCAAAAGAGAGTGTCTGAGAGTTTTGGCAACACTGATCTCCATAAGCGTAATGTTATTTTCTTAACTTTAAACAAAGAATAGAATTTTTCCAGAATTAGATACAGTAGATGGTGGATCACTTTGTCCAAGACCTCTTTCAATGTTTTACTGTCGATCAAAAATTTTAAAGTTCTACTGTAGGTCTCACTTCATATACTAACACGCGTAATAATAAATTCATATGAGAAAGTCAAAATCTTATTGTAAAAAAATTGGTGTTTTTTTGGCCAAACCTTGATGTTCATGTAAATTATTTTCTTTGATTTAAATTCTATTTCCTATTTATAAAAGCTCTTTATATACTGTATCGTACAACACTATTAATGTGTGGTTCTTATATTCTATTGCATTTCATTTTTTATGCATTGGGCATCAGATCATTTCTTTCCACTGAATTGAACATTCCCCATACATTTTCCCTGGGTGCCTTATTTTTCAAATCTTTGATTATGTCTTTTAACTTCCTGTTTAGTGGGTATTTTTCACTATCATTCTGTTTGTTTTTTTCAGTGGTTGTATTTATAAGTATTCATATTGTTCTTATTTATTCCACCGAATAACTATCCCTATTCATCTGGGTGCATCTTTGTACTGGGTTTCGCTCCCTTTTTATGTTGTGATATAAATTCTTTACTTGTTTTTTGACAAAATCTTCAAATATAATTTAAATTATGATATAGAAATACTTTTACTTTTCCTTAATATTTTCTTTGCTTCTGTTTTTTTCTTCTATATATTAAAATAAAGTAATCTTTTTATTTTCCAAGGTGTTATTTTGTTTAAGCAGATTTAATTATTTTTTTAATACAGAGTAACAAAAATTGATGTGCCTAGTGGCCAAAATTTGAATTTCAAATGGTTGCATGGCATTAAAGATAGCATAATTGAGTAAGTTTACTTAAAATGGATAGGAACATGAGTTTATTAAATTCCACAAAGAAAATAATTTATTTAATGAATCAGAGAAGAAAGGTAAACATTAGTTTGTTTTTGATCTCATGAAAACTTTGGTAGTTTTGATCTCATACCTACTGTTGCTTTTGCTCGTGAACATCATGTCACTCAATGGAGAAGAGTAAAACGTAAGTGGAAATTCTCTGGATACACTATCACACAAAGATAAAATCAGATTATTACAACGTAGAGGTCTCAGACAAATTTGCAAAAGAGAGACCACAATGGATGTCCCCAAGGCTAATAGTAATAGATGGACAGGTGGCAGTGAAGCAGAGAGAGAAAATCTATAGGATTTATTTGTCATTTGTATTTGCCGGTCATCATTTGAAACATATTATAATTCGATTTCTGTTCTTCTTCTTCTTCTACGGCACTACAGCCCAAAATGAGCCTTGGCCTCCTTTATTTTTTGCCTCCACCCTTGTCTGTCTGTGGCTGCTCTTCTCCATACACGGACTCCTAAAAGTGCTTGTGCGTCGCTGCTTACTGTGTCTTCCCAGCGCTTTCTTGGCTTTCCAACTGGTCTCTTTCCCTGCATTCTGGCGTTCAGTGCTCGTTTTGGTAGCCTATCCTCTCCCATTCGTATCACATGTCCGGCCCATTGCAATCTTTGTATTCTAATTCGATTTCTGTTGCCTATTATTAATTGCCATATACACATTAAAATATTGCCAAATCTGTATATAAATCAATCTTAAAATTTAGGCTTTATTGATCTCTTATCCTTATTAATAACATTGACTATCTTTAAAAATAATTAGTTAATTTATTTCATTTTCAGAAACTGAAGAAACTCCCAAAAAGAAGAAAAAGAAGGCAAAACAGGAAAAAATGGATGAAAGTGTTAGAGAAGAAGTTGAAGAAGAGGTAGCGGATGAATCAATGAGTAAGAAGAAAAAGAAGAAAAAAATCAAACAAGAAGTAGAACAACAGGAAGAAGCATCAGTTGAAACTGAGGCGCCAACTTCAGAGAAAAAGAAAAAGAAGAAGAAAAAGAAGCAGTCAGAAAGTGAAGAACAATAAATTAACAAATTATTTTATCTTTGTAAATATGGTATAAAGTCAAAACTGTCTAGCATTCAAGTTTTTTTTTTAATAATAATACAATTACAAACTTAGACTTTATAATGTTATAACATCTACACTGACTAAAAAACTGTTCCACAAGCAAGTCTTCTGTTATTGAACAGTAAGATAAATCTGTAGGATATTTCAGTGTTTCAAGAAAAATGTAGAAAACGTTTTATGTTTTTTATATAACTCAATTCATGATAACCGTATAATGCAAGACTACTTTTTAAATTCATGAAAAGGCTTATATCATTTTATACTTACTTCAGATTTTCTATGGATTTTAGGTATGAGTTGTCATTGATATATTGTTTTATGGGATTTATAGGCCGTAATCTGAAATTATCTTCTCCTGGTCTTTAGTTTGCCACTGTGGCTGATATCAAAAGCAATGCGCCAGCTATCCTAATTGATTTCCAGAAGGCGGCTAATCAAAAAATATATCATGAAGTAACAACTGCCTATTGGTGTCGGACTCATAGGGACAGTGGTAGCGCTAAGGGTCGTATGCTGAAAGGCCAGGTAGACCAGGGTTCTGCCAATTTATATTTGGGGGGGGGGGGGGGTACCAAGCTCAGCAATGCCTATACGTCTTGGATTATTATTTATGTTGAACAAAATAATTGTCAAATTTTATAAATTGGGACTAGGCTAATGCATCTGTGTGAGAATAGTAATCTATTTAGTTATTATTTTAAATGGGCACCACAATAGAAAATTATACTTTACATTTGCTTTAACATTTTGATTTCCAATCCGAAAATCGTTTTCAAAAAAATTATGAATGATAACCTGTAAATGCTTATAATTGGCAGTGGATGGTGATAAGAATTTGATAGTTAATTTACTTGTCTTCTCTCTTACACGCATTTGCCATGTTTTGAGGAGAAATTCTGAGGTGCTGTATCATCAGATTGCTGTTGATAAGATATCACATAGTATAAAATAATTACTCCATTTAGTAATCTATACTACATGTCAACCCCGATTTACTTGGTTCACAGGCATAGTTGGTTTACATAAAGTAGTGAGGTAATTCTAATTCTGTTATCCATTTCCAAGTCGCAACAGCTAGTTCACATTTACTGCTTTTTTTTGTTTTTGTAAGGTTTGCATGTTGGTTACTATGTGACACCTGTGCCTATTTTGCGAGATATATATCTCTATTTTTTGAATAGATAAAATCGTTGAATGAAGACTCTTCATCTTGGTCACACACGTCATATTATGCTATCTAGCAAAATATTGATGTTGTCCAAATGTCTCTTGTGATTAGATCTGTTGTAAGTACTTACCTTGATTTTAACTTTGTTTTTGATCAGGATCTACAAGATGTATTGATTTTAGACCACTGTAGTCATATATATGTGCCGGGTACTCAATATAGGTTTCATACTTTTTATTTTTCTATTTCCTGTTCTGTAATCCTTCTATCACTAGACTTCGATGAATTTTTCATTTGATTAAATACCTATTTTGATTTTTAATTCTTCCTAGTTTTTTTTATTCAGTATATACTTAAACTCTCTAGCAATTTTGAGGGTGTTTTGCAAATAAATAAGAATGTTAATGTTCTTAAAAGTTCAATATTTTTCTAAATATGTAATATTTTACATATAATTAATGATAAAACGCTATATATTTCTTTTAGAATATTTTTGTTATAATTGTTTTTAATAAATAGGATTTAGACTTATTCCATTTTACTTATTCCTCCCATACATTTACAACCTTCAATTTTGGTGAGTTTCTTCGCACATATATTTATAAAAAGACTTTTTGGCGGAACTGGCGAAGTAAATCGTTGAAATGAAGCAGTGGCGTATGCAATTCTGTATGAATAACAGATAACACTTAGCTGTAACTAATACCTCACAGATACGCCAGGCTGAACAGTACTTTCATCCCACATAAAAGAAATAAACGATATGCTGCAAAATCAGATCAATTTCCAGTCCATTGTGTAGAACCTCATTTTCTCCATCCGCCGTTACAATTTTTTTTTCAAGTAACAAAAAACAGGATAAAGTGAAAGCCGAACTAATAGCGATTCAAGAGATGACATGAACTGGTTCAGATCGAGAAAAAGACTACAATATATACTATAGCGGACATAACACCCGACACGAGTTTAGCAGTGGTTTTCTGGTCAGTAAAACAGTAAAGCAATTAGTCCTTAACTTTATACCCATAAACAACATAATATGTTATCTACATCTTAAAGGAAAATTATTTAACTATAGTTTATTTGTGGACACGCACCCACGGAAGAATAGGAATACGAAGAAAATGATGAATTCTACGACACCTTAGACAAGGAATATGATCGATGTCCACGTCATGACGTGAAAATAATTGCTGAGCCTTAATGCAAAAACTGACAAAGAGCAATTTTTTCAACCAACTATAGGATGAGAGAGCTTGTATGAAGAGTCGAATGATAACGGGCTGAGACTAATATACTTTGCAAGCACCACATATAGTATTTTCCTCATAAAATAGTACACAAAGGAACATGGAAATCCTCTAACAACGAAATCGCTAACCAGATAGACCACGTCCTAATAGATGCAAGGCATTCTTCCGACCTCAAAGATGTCAGAAGCTACCAAGGTCCAAACATAGTGACCACTTTTTTATAATGGCAAAAATCAGAGAAAGAATTTTAAACCTAAAAAAGGATAATCATATGAAACAAGACAGCGAGTATAGGAGACAAATGGATGAGGAAATAGAGAGCCTGTAAGCAGAGGAATTGTGGACAAAATGTAGAAATATACTAAATAAGAAGGCATCCGAAATATTGAGGAAAAACCAAACCAGTTAGACAAAACTAATGGTTTGACGACGAGGAGATAGAATACCGAACCCTAGAAGGGAAGAAAAACAGGCAATTTTAAGAAAAGCAGTTGGAAAACATAGTATTGCTAAAACGAAACGAACTAAGTTGTAGAGAAATAGTAAACTATCCGTACCAAGAATATCTAAATAAAAAATTTTGGTGAAATAATCGATTTCTTTTTCTTCAATATTAAATCATATGCAGAATTGACATCTTTGGAAAAATCAAGTGCAAAGTTGTCAAAGAAATCTGTTTTGGTCCCATTCCTCATCATTTTCTACATATTCACTATATTTCGATGTCTTCCAAAATGTCAAATTCTTCGAAAGCATCTTCATCTTCTAAATGTTTCTCATTGTCAGGTAAAGAATATAAATAAGTTATGCAACCTCGACATTTCTGGATTTATCTAGTTCGCACATTTCTAAAATAAAATAATAAAAATGAACAACGAGAATGGTCGGTGGGAAGCATATATCCCCCTTACAAATATATATTTAGCATATGTTTTATTATCATTGTTTTTATAATGAATGTCTGTATAAAAGTCAAAAGAATAAAAAAATAATATTTAAATCCTTAGCACTCAACTTAATTTGCGTGTAAACAATTATTTATTCACAACTAGAACATAACCGTCACAACAGCATAATATTTTCAAATATAAGTATGAATGGTAATGTAAATAAGTACTGATATCATTACTAAGTGGCAGCAGCCTCAAACAGTGGGAAAATCGATGTACATTGACTATAGACTTGATATTATTATATGGTGAGAATTATACTTCCCACTGCCTATGAAAATATTAAGGGGGTAAATGGTGGAAGATGGGAGAGCATAATTATCTCGTTTATTATTAACTTTACGACATGAATGTACATACACAAAAATGAAGAGAATTATATTTTATACAATTTTGATCTCTATTTTTTCACTAAATTCAATATTGAAGTTGTACGTATGCCATAAAGGCTCTAGCGTAAGACCTTGCGTGAACTGGTTATATAGGAATTGGTTTTGTTCAATATCTGGGCCAGTTGCGATTTTAAATTTACACTACTATTGACCCCCACCCCTACTGCCTAAAGGTTAGAATGATAAGAAATTTTGGGACAGCTCGCCATGCAACGTCAAATGCTATCCCGACAGGACTACAGCGGCAAGAAAGTAAATACACTACCTAATATTTATTCAATGAGACGACTGTGTCACAAGAATAATTTTGAAGTTATGCGAAGCATGACTTGCATCCATGCTCGCTAGTTCCTTGTTTCAAACCTTTCAGCTACTTGCATTATAACACTTTGCATTTATGCAAAACAATTGTTTGGGAAAGTATTTATTATTTATTTTCATATTTTACATTTAATCTTTTTATCACTGTACTATATGATCTTATTTAATGGTGTATTGTAACTACTTATTCACTTTCTTCTTCAAGTGCCCTCTCCGCTAGTGAATTTGGCAATCATCATTGCTATTCGTATCTTTGAAGCTGTTGCTCTAAATAATTGGTTAGCTGTGCACTGAAACCAGTCTCTTAAATTGCGCAGCCAAGATATACGTCGTCTCCCTACGCTTCGTTTGCTCTGACTCTTTCCTTGGATAATTAACTGGAGCAATCGGTACTTTTTCCTCTCATCACATGACCAAGTTATTCCAACTTTCTTTTCTTGATGGTGATCAACAGCTCCCGTTCTTTGTTCATTAGTCGAAGAACTACATTATTTGTTATTTTGTCTGTCCAAGGTATTTTCAAAATTCTTCTATATATCCACATTTCGAAGGCCTCTAGTTTATCGGTATTGCTCTTGTTTAAAGTCTTTACTCCGTACAGTAGTATCGAAAATATGTAGCATTTAACCAATCTCATTTTCAGGTTTAAGTTAATGTCATGACTTCCCATAATGTCCTTCATATTAACAAAAGCAGCTCGAGCCTTTCCAATTCTAGTTTTTATTTCTTCTGTAATGTCATTGTTGTTATTAACACTTGTTCCCAAATATTTATGCACCCGTTCGATTTCGTTATTGTGAACGTACAGGTTTGCATTCAATCTTTGTTTTTTTTTGAAATAATTTTGAATTTCTTGACATTCATTGTTAACCCTTTCTCTTCACTAGCTGTAACTACCTTGTTTAAAATGGCTTGTAGGTCTTCTACTGTCTCCCCTATTAAAACCGTATCATCTGCATATCTAATATTATTAATTGGTTGGCCGTTAACTTTTATCCCAATCTCTTCTTCCTCCAATGCTTTCTTCATAATTTCTTCCGAATAGAGATTAAATAGCATTGGTGACAGCACACATCCTTGTCCAACTCCTTTTTTAATTTGAATTTAATTTGTTGTGCTATTTTCGATGCGTGCGACTGCCTTCTGATTATAATACAGAGTAGATATTCTTATATCGCGAGTGTCTAACTGTTTAGCTTTCAAGATCTCTAAAAGTTGGTCATGCTTGACGTTATCAAACGCCTTGTTGTAATCAATGAAACAAGCAAATACATCTTGATTCACATCCAAACACCTCTGTGTCAAGATGTTAAAGGCAAATAATGTTTCGCGAGTTCCATATCCTTAACGGAATCCAAACTGAGTTTCTTCGATATCTTCTTCCAATTTTCTGTAAATTCTGTTGTGAATTATTTTGAGGAATATTTTTAAGGTATGGCTCATCGATGATCACTGCACTGCTTAGCATGTGCCTTCTTGGGAAGAGGGACAAAGGTTGATCTTAGCCATTCTTCAGGAATTATACTGTTTTCATAAATCTTGTAGTAATAATGGATAATAAGTCTACTAACAAATGGATTCGATCTTCATCAATCACTTTAGTATATCCGCTGGTAGCTCGTCTGGTCCTGGATATTCCTTGATGACTTCACTGCTTGCATTACTTCTTCTTTGCTTATTTCTGGACCTGTCTCCTCTGGAAAACTATCACAAGGAGGCTGCCTTTTATCGTCAAACAGTTCTTCTATGTATGTCTGCCAATGTTTTAGTTTGTCCTCTGTTTCTATTATTATGTTCCCTTGTTGGTTTATAAGTACTGTCTGCTTCCTGTTTCTATTGTTGATCATTTCTTAACTTTCTTGTGAAGATAGAACGAATCATATTTGGCTTCCAAGTTTTCAATCTCCTTACATTTGTCTTGTAACCATTGTTTTTAGCGTCGCGAATTTTTCTTTTGATTTCTGTGTTAACTTGTTAACTGCTTAATATTCCCAATACTGACCTACGGATGTGAATCTTGGACTCTGAGACAATCGGAGAAAAGAAAGATAGACGCCACTGAAATGTTCTGTTGGAGACGAAGTTACGAATTCCTTGGACCGACCGCAGAACAAATAATTCAATTTTAAAAGTTAGCCAACGACTCTCTAGTAAAGTCCATCTCCAACAATTAAAATATTTTGGGCATATTATGAGAGCAAACACAGAAAACATGGAAAGACTCATAATACAAGGAAAGGTAAAAGGCCGAAGATCACGAGGAAGATCCCCAACAAGATGGATAGATCAAATTACAGGAATATGCCAAAGACCTATGCATGAATTAAAAGAAATGACCAGAGACAGAGATCTCTGGAGACGGACAATACACGACATCACGTCGACCACTACACTCCCCTGGGGGGTCAGGATTGAAGAGAGAGAGAGTTAATTTGTTTATACTGTTCATTTTTACCTTTCGATAGTCTTCGAGAATTCATCAATTTTCATCGTCAATTCCGTCATTAGTCCATTCTTTCTGTTTCTTTGGCTTTTCTCTCTTCAGAATATTTTTAGCGGGCTCCAGCACGTTATTTTTAATAATGGCCCAGTGTTTATTAATGTCTAGTTCTGGTATCTTCTGTCTTTTCAAGATTTGCTTGAATGCTTGTTTCTACCTGATGTTTAATTGTTTCATCATTTAAATTATTGATAGCTATTACTTGTTTGGGCTTAGGTGTTTGTACTCTTTTAAGCTTTATTCGGAATTGTGCCCTTACTGGATCGTGGTCTGACCCTGATACGTTTTCACAGATTCGATTGTGTTTTTATATCTGTTGTTTATGGTTATATAATCTATTTGATTTCGTACAATATGGTCTTTAGTGACTCCAGGTTTCCACTTATTCACTTTAAAATATATTATTTTCTGCTATTCAGTAAAATCTCATTGTCTAAACAGGCTAGCACATGTCTGTTTTTGAGTTCAAAGATATTAACTTCTCTTTTTATTTTGGCCACTTCCTTGCAAACCATAGAAAACGTTACAAAATATATTTCAGTGACCATTTAGTTAAAATTATTGAAATTCAAAATCGCCATACAATAGACTTGATTTATTGGTATGCACTTGCCCTACGGACTATCTAGAACCGTGGACAGAGACTTTCTGACTATTTTATCACTTCCTATCGAGACAGCGAACGAAACGCACCCAGTGTATTGGTTACGTCGTTTTTTCGAGCCTCGACGCCGAGCGTCGCGACGGGCAGATACAGATACTCTACTGCTTGCTACGATTAATACACCAATATTTCAAAGGTAAGTTCTTTTCTTTGTACAGAGAACAGCAATGAGTAAAGCCACCTAATTTTCGTAATATTTAAATTAAATTGCTAATTTATTCACAATCAGAATATTGCATTTTTCCTTCATTATTGTTTTAATTTCATTTAACCAGCAACCTCTAGTTTAACACAAAACAATGATCGAAGGTAAAAAATGCAAATAAAAACAACATTTAATAAAACAAAAAAAAGAATGCTTGTTTATTTTTAACTACTTCTACATAAAGCATATATGTGTATAACTAAATAAAATAAAAATATGTACATCTGTTTCGATTTAGTCTGGAAAACAGAAATAAATTAATCCATGATCATAATTCTATCTGCTCATGAAAATATAATTTTTTTTAATAATTAATCTTACACCAAAGTGGCATTAGTAATGACTATCAATTAAGCTTGAATATAAAGGAAATGGTATTTCGTATTATAAGCACTACTTAACCTAAAATAACACCTCTGTGAGACTAATCTCTAAAAATATATTCTCAACTTATATGTAAAATAAATATAATCTTCACTCAAGGTCAAGGTTCCACTCCTCAATTAGCAGATCCACTAAGAGCATCCTTCAATTTACCCAGTAAGCGGTTCCCGAAATAATAATTTAGTCTTAAATAGGTAAAACAAAGGTAAATATACAATACAGGAATCATCCCTGATAAATGGCTAGAATCAGAATTCATAGCGATACCTAAAAAACACGGGGCTAAAAAGTGCGAAGAATATCGAACAATCAGCCTAATGAGCCACATGTTGAAACTGTTTCTTAGAGTCCATGGAAGAATTTATAAGAAGTGCGAGGAACAAATATTGAACAGACAGTTCGGCTTCATTAAGGCAGTGGGTACCACTGCATCTTTTCGGAGTACAGGTACTGATTCAAAGACGCAGGGACGTTAACTGCGACGTATACGCGTGCTTGATCGACTATGAAAAGGCATTTGACAGAGTTCAACATCAAAAGATGATAAACATTTTAAAAGAGGCAGACCTGGATGACAAAGACCTCAGAATAATTTCAGAACTCTACTGGAATCAGACCGCATACATGAAAATTAACGGAGAAGAAACAGATCACATAAAAATACTACGTGGAGTTAGACAGGGATGTATCCTATCGCCGTTGATATTTAATATGTACTCAGAGAAAATTTTTAACGAGGCTCTTTACGAAATAGACGAAGGCATCCTTCTAAATGGTGCAAAAGTAAACAATGTTAGATATGCCGACGACACCATGGTGATAGCAGATAGTTTAGAGGGACTTCAGAGGCTAATTGACAGAATAAACGAGTACAGTCAACAGTACGGACTAAACATTAATACCCACAAAACGAAACAAATGATTATCAGCAAGGAGAATATAAACGGAGCTCATCTATACATTCATGGGACGCAGATAGAGCGAGTAAAACAGTATTGTTACCTGGGAACTATTATTAACGAACAGTGGAGCAATTTACAAGAAATAAAGTGCCGCATAGGAAAGGTCTCTAATAAAATGAGCGCCATCTTCAAAAGTCACAACCTATGCCTTGATACAAAAATGAGACATTTGAGATGCTATGTTTTCTCTGTGTTGTTGTACGGGGCGAAGGCATGGACGCTTACAGACACCACTATTAAAAAACTTGAAGCATTTGAGATGTGACTTTACAGAAGAATTCTGAGAATATCATGGACAGCAAGGATCACGAACAAGGAAGTTCTAGGAAAAATGAAGAAGGAACCAGACATTGTGTTTACGATCACACGCATAAAATTGCAATATCTGGGACACGTTATGAGAAATCAGCACCGTTACTCCCTGCTACAGTCTATATTGCAAGGTAAAGTCAAAGGTAAGCGAGGATCCGGTAGAAGAATATCATGGCTGCGGAATTTAAGAACATGGTTTAAGAAAACCTCAACGGAGTTGTTTCGAGCCGCAGCGAGCAAGGTTATGATTGCCAATATGATTTCCAACACCCGAAACGGATAGGAACCAGAAGAAGAAGAAGAAGGTAAAACAAACATAAAATCCATTATTTACTAATTATATTGGGAATTAACCACAATTTCAGTTTATAATTAAGAAAATTTGAGAACGATTTCCGAAGTAGAAATCGAAAACTCCAACATATTTTAATCTAAAAATAGTAAATAATATTAAAACGTTGAAATGACGTCAATCAACGAACGAAACTATGAAATCCGACATTACTAAAAACATTTCATTATCTCACAAGCAAGATAGAGTTGAACTAGTTTTTGCATTAGTAAAATAGTTGTAGTATGTTTGTGCTAACAGTCGTTTGTAAGACTTTATATCGAGATACTAAAAATGTTAAGTTAAATATTTGTAAACTTCTTTTTCTTAAACACAACTAATACTTAATATCTTATCTTACCTATTACATAAAATCAGTTGGTTTTACAGAGAAAGTAATAATAAAAAAGTTCATAGCCAATGGAGTCTTATCTATAACGTTTATTTATATATAAAACGGAATAAAGATTTGAAATATTGCACAACTCATTTATCTCTAATAGAGCGAGCAGCTCAAGCAACTGGTACAACAAATAATAATCTCCATTATTTTTAATAAAGACCACGAAAGGTAAGTGTGATTGTTTCTTCCAATGCCAAGTCTTCATCAACAAAGACGCATAGTTTCAATTTTTTCTCTTAAACTTAATCTTGCAGCCATAACACATGATATTATTAAAGGACTTGGAAGTAAATATTGTCACATTCATATTTTTTCACTAAGATTTAAGTTGAACTATTAGGTTCTATTAGGAACTATTGAATTTTTATCAGTTTTTTTCGTGCAATGATAGTTTATTATTAAAATAACTAAATTTTTGTCAGCGTTATTTGAAAAAGCTCTAAATCCAGTGGCGTAATTTTTTTTTAATAAAAAAATCGATATTAAAAATTATCCATTTTAAATGATGTCCCGAAGTAGACCTTTTATTACATGATATTTTAAAAAAGTTTGTTAAAATCGGTTACCAACTTCTATAGAAGTATTTTTAATCTAACTGAGTCACACTGTATATCCTGACTTAAAGTAACGATTATGTTTATTTTATCTATAACTATAGTAAAATAAATAAAATAAAAGTCACATTTATCCACACACATCAAAATCCCCAAAACCCCCACAGCAAAAGTGCCTAAGCCATTAATATAAATATATATAAAAAATTGTATTGGCGGTTTGAAACGAATTGCCAAAATAAAGTAAAATAAATATCGTAAAATAGTTTCGAAGTCATGTTATTGTTGCTTCTTAAAAGGCAGAAAATATTGATTTTTCACGTTGAGAACCCCTATGAATAGCTCTTCTGACGAAACCTATTAGGTCGAAATACGTATCAAGAGATACATAGAATTTGTTTGCGTGAAATCAAATATTTGCTGCCTTTTTTCATTTCATAAAATAAATATAATTATAAATGAATTTTAAAGAATATCTTAAATAATCCCAGGTATGTAGAGTAAATAAAAACCGGAATAGTTTTTGGAAAATGCAAGAATGAAGAAAAATGTAATATAAAAAGTAATAATATGTAAAAACAAAGTAAAGATTAAATTGATAACGTTTGCCATGAATTATTCTTATATAAATTTTATCAAGACAAATTCTAAGTAGGTAGGATTGATGGGATTCGACTTCTGCTTTATTTTGTTTTCCAGTACCACTTAAAAAATACCTAACATATAGGTAACACTAAACCAGGTACAAATAATCGCGATTTTGTATAAAAGCAGTCCATCTCTAAATACACGAATATTTACACGAAGGAAGAATGTTCATTAATTATTGCTCCTACATTTTGTTTGTATCATTCAATACAGTTATCAATGCATTCGACACATCAATAAAGTTGGACTGTTTTTGTTACACTACTAATAAAACTCGTATAAGCTAATACGCAAGATACTTTATAAGTCATTTATGATGATACTTCGGGATCATGTGATTTTCGTAATTCCTTGATAAAATCTGTGAGATTGCAATTTGCTGGTGACCAGTTTTTATGAATATTGTACACCTCAACTGATTTTCGGACACCATCATCAACTATAACACCTAAAAAGAAAACTCAATAGTAAAATCAAAGTTATGATGAAAAATTCATATTTTTCAAAAATGCAATTAGTAAGGTCGGCGCCCATAGCGCACTGTTTTAAAATTACGGTTTGAATCCGATTGTACTCGCAACTACTATCAGTTGCAAGATAATTCGGATGGAATAGATCACATGCATGTAGGTGGCGCTAGCGTCAGGGTTTGGTATTAAAACATAACCTTATTTTATTCTGCCATTTATTTACATAGCGATTTCAGTTTTAATTAGGACATTTAAATCGTTTGGGCACTTTTATTAAAACTTTATAGTATGCCTTACAATTGTTGTGTGCCACAATTCAATTCAGTTTCCAATAAAACTGACAATATTAAGTTTCATAAATTCCCATTAAATTAAACTTTACAAAAACGATGGTTAATCGTTATCAGGTCTGAAAAAAATATTAGCAAGCACACAAAAATCTGTTCCAGGCACTTTTCAAATGAAAATCATACCGTTACAAGTTTGGGTAAGTTAAAAAATACTTATCCTAATTTTTTGCATTTTTATTGTCTTGTTTTTTTAGGACAATGGAAGATCCTTAAAAAACATGCAGTAACTACAGTAAATTTACGAAAAGAACGTTGTAGACTCCAATGAATGACTCTAGGAGGAGTAATAGATATAGAAAAATACTTTGTACAGCAGTATTGCCACCAAACAAACAAAAAGACCAAACAGAAACAGAATTATTACAAACAGTTCAAAATGATACAAAAAAGTGTGGTTCAACAGAGACACCTGCTAACAAAAAAAATCAGAGAATTTAAAAACATGTATTACAACTCAAACTGTGATAACACGGAATAAACGTCAATTCATTTTGAATGACTTTTTGTCAGAGGAAACATTTTGCTGGTTTTTTAAGAAAATTATTTACATTTTTCATTGAAGAGTTTGAAAAGTCATACATATTAAAATTCATAGTGCACTTTCAGTAAAAAATGAACTGTTAATAACACTTATGAAATATAGACCTAATTTGTTTTATTCTACATTTTATCTAAAGCATTTTATCTAAAGCATTTTTTTTGCAGTAGACATTTAAACTGTCTGAAAAATATTTGTTAAGTGGACCAAGCATCTTTACACTTGCTTCAAAAAAAAAAATTAACTTTTGGAACATTGCAACAACTTGTGAAAATCAGTGCAAATTATTTGGACCATACAACATATTCTATATATTATGGATCCAATACCTTTAAAATACTAATAGCATGATCTGAAAAAGGTGAAGTTATATATGTATCTGATATTTTTGAAGGCAGTATTTCAGATAGTAAAATTACAGTGCGGAACTTGGAACTTATTGAAGAAGAATTTATTTTAGCGGTCAGGGGGTTTTAGTATATAAGATCTTCTAGAGGAAAAAAATATACCTATATTTAAAAAAGGAGCTCAGTTAACAGAATAAATAATAAAAACAAGGATCGTTGCCAATCGTAGAATCATCGTTAAAAATATTATTCTTCTTCTTGTAGTTCATTCTCCTAACGGAAGTTGTCTATCATCACAGATATTCGTACCTTATTGGTGGCTGCTCTGAAAAGATCTACTCAGCTGCAACTATACCACTCTTTTAGGTTTCTTAACTAGGAAATTCTTCCTCTTCCTATGGATCTTTTACCCTTGATTTTACCTTGCATTACGAACCTTAATATCTCATATTTCGCACCTCTGGTAATGTGGCCTAAATATTCCAGCTTTCTTGTTTTGATGTGCTTTATCATCCATTATATTGGAACCAAAGTGCCATAGTTCAAATTGATGGGCAACACTCAGAAGAAATGAGGATCTGTAGAGGAGTTAGACAGGGATGTGTGTTATCACCACTTTTGTTTAACTTATATTCTGAAGAAATTTTCCAAAACACGCTCAATAATATCGAAGCGGGAGTCACCGTTAACGGAAAATTAATTAATAATTTAAGATATGCAGACGACACTGTGATCATAGCAACGAGTATAGAGGATCTACAACATCTTATCGAAAGCTTGAGTATAAATAGTGCTGAGATGGGAATTACTATAAACGCCAAAAAAACGAAGTACATGCTGATTACAAAAAGGCCACAAAATATACATCACCTATTGACAATAAATGGTAACGTGATAGAACAAGTAGAAAAATATCAGTATTTGGGAACTTTGATCAATGAAACCAATGATCATACTGTAGAAATAAACAGACGAATAGAGATTGCCAGATCAGCATTTATACGCATGAAGCCACTCCTAACGTGCAAAAATCTAAATTTGGAGATCAGACTACGTACCATTCGCTGTTATATATTTTCAATATTATTATATGGAGCTGAAACTTGGACATTAAAAAAATGTAATTTAAAAAGAATCGAGGCCTTCGAACTCTGGTTATACCGCAGAGTATTGAAAATATCATGGACTGATAGAATTACAAATAAAGAAGTACTGGAGAGGGTTGGTAAAGAAACAGAACTAATCACCACTATACAAACCAGAAAACTGGAATACTTAGGCCACGTGATGAGGGGACCAAAATATGAAATTTTGAGACTGATAATACAGGGAAAGATTCAAGGAAGAAGATCTGTTGGCCGAAGGCAGAACTCATGGTTAAAGAATCTACGTGATTGGTACCAATGCAGATCGATTGATTTGTTTAGAGCAGCAAGTTCTAAAATAAAAATAGCCATTATGATTGCCAACCTCCGTAGGGAGACGGCACTCTAAGAAGAAGAAGATCACCTCAAAATCCCTTTAAAGCCTTCTTAACACTTCTGCATTTGTAACTCTTTAGGTCCATGGTATTTTCAAAATCGTTATAAAGCACCACATCTTAAATGATTCCAACTTCTTTATATTATCCACTTTTAGTGTCCAACTGTCCATTCCATTCAACAAAGTCGAGAACACGTAGCATCTTAAGGCTCTTACCCTCAGCTCCAGAGGAAGGTCTCGATTAACAAACATTGTTTTAATTTTTTTTAATGCTTGTCTTACAATAATTTCAATGCTTGCCCTTATTTCTCTACCTTGGTCATTGTTTTCATTTATCCAGATTCCCAGATATTTGTAATTATTCACTCTTTCTACTTGTTTGCCCTGGATATCTAGCCTTCCTACTATATATTGCTTAGAAATAATCATATGTACTTGGTTTTCTTAACGTTCATTTGTAAAAGTCCATATTTGATACTAACTTGATGTAATCTATTTACAAAGCAGTGCTTCTAGACTGTCTGCAAAAACAGCGGTGTCGTCTGCGAATCTTATGTTGTTCAAGATTTTTCCGTTTTGATATACTGTTGAAAATATTATAGGATTTTCAAAAAAAATATAAAATACTGAAAGATAGAATGTCTTCTTAATTATATAAATATATATATACATGAAATAATTTATAACTGTTGTATGATTTGTAATTTTAAAAATAGCATAAGTAACAATTGCAAATTATTTTCCCATCTATAGATATACCTATATTGATCTATTAAAATTTCTAGTAGGATAGCACTTATTTTTTTTTATTAGTTTTACGTATTATAATATTTGTGACTTGTTACTATTTTTTTATCAAACATAATTTGTTTTAAACTTGAAAAATATAATACTTAAACAAGATTTAATTTGGTAATTTTGATAGTTAACTATGAGACAAAAAATAAAAAACAAATATTTAAATTAAAATATCCATTATGCAAAAATGTTCAAGATAAACATTAAATAACTCACTTATTTCACAGATTTTAAACACTGCGAAACTATAGCTGAAAATCTGAAAAAATGTATTAAAATTTAAAATGTATTGAGGAATAGTATGAGGTTATGATTTAATACCAAACCTCGACGTAAGCGCCCCTTGCGGATATTTTTTTAACTGACTTATAGCATAATATGATCTATTCCCCAGATTAAGAAACTGGGCCGATATCAAGCACAAAATGACAGTAGTCCCTTAATGCTGTAACGAAAAGTCACCCTTAGTCTTTCGTTACATTAGGTTCAATTTTAAATTTTATACAAAGTTTAAAGGTACTTTACTAAATGATATAAAGTAGGTGTAGTCAGGTACGTATTTCAATTTATGAGTTGTTGTTAATGAGTTGTTAACGATTGGTAAATAAAATTTTAAGCATAATTTAGTGTAGATATTTAAATTTAATCAGTTAATTGCATTTGTACTTGGAATTCAGAATTACAAATTTCTAGGTACGTAAAGCCATTGTTTATAAGAGATTAGAAAATTTCTTGAAAATTTTATTTATGTAAACGGATAATGTTTACTTAATATTAAATTATCACTAAATGGGCTTCTGTGAGAAGAAAGTTTATTTGAAAAGATCTTCATTTTTCTTTTGTCGTTCATTTAGAACAGAAGTCAGTGTAATAACTATAAATATGAGTTATATAGAAATTCTGGTTATATTGATCTCATACAAGATGCAAAGTAAATAGTGCTTAACGTTTACAACGGTAAATACTCGTTAAAAATACTCTTTATTTAATCTTATTAATACAGGATGAATTTTAAAACGAGCAGTACCAGGTGGAGCGACTTATCGCCCCAGTAGTTTGGTTCACTTTTAAGCGCAAGGTTTCTATGTATCTCATTAATCTTACCATTTTTTAACTCTTTATTATTCTGTATACTTTGTTTAGTACCGATTCAACAAATTAAAAATCAAAGACAGTAGACATTCACATTCAGAAACTCATTAAATAAACAAGTAATTTTAGCAGTTATCATATATCAGACGTATTTAAGGCTGAATAACTAAGGTAGAAAGTGATGCTTCGAAGAATCTAGACAAAAATATTGTAATAGGGAAATTATAAAAGTTCCCACTCTGTAATAGCAAGAATGGAATTTCAAAGATGAAGGAAACACATTACAATCAACTGCTAAAGGTTAAATTCCGAAAGTGGCTGCACTCTGCAAACTACAGCGACAGTGTCGTCTGCGGTCAGACCAATTCCGA